TATATATATATAACTATTTTAAATATATACAGAGTACTTTACAGTAAATGAAACAAAATTTAAGGATTGATTCTAGATGATAAAAAAATAAGATAAAAATGGAGAAAAACAAAATTGCAAATTCTTCATTTTTTAATCATAAAAGTTCAAATATTGAAATATATGTAAAAAGTACCTCAAACACATATTTAGGCAATTAAAAACTTTGTACTGAAATTTTATTATTCTTGATTTTGTAATATTCTGAATGTTTAAATATGCATATAAAAGTGCCTAATAATGTAAATGTTTAAATATTTATAATTAAAAAACAGTCAAATTCGCGCGTATAATTTTGATATTCTTAATTTCATCTTATTTTAATATTATTTTAATATGTGGGAAAAAGTTCGTAGCGTTTTTTTAATGCTATCTAACGGGAAAAACGCCACGAACTTTTTCCTATACCTAATATTTAGATTTGCACTCTTTAAATTTTGCCCTATCTCTGTTGCTAAATACTTTGTATATATACATACATTAAATCAATAAAATCATATATTAGCAGAATAATAGAACTAATAAAATTAAATGTGTAAATAACAGAAGAATATTTTTGATCTCAGAAGATCATTGATATGAGCGATATAATATTGCTAAGTAAATTTTACATACAAAGAAACAAACCACTTTTAATTAATATGATATAAAATTTTCACACATTTATAATAAAATAGTATTAACATACAATTTATATATAGTGCAATAACATTCTAAAATAAAAAGAGAGGTGATGCTCTCTATATCATACCTAAAATCACATTCTGTCTCCTTCTGATGAGGCAATGAATGCTGCTCGTACAATGAGATGAATAACAATGCCATAGGTACATTATATTCGGATTCCTCAAACAAATTACTACGTAACCAACCAATTATCGAAGGTTTGTTTTTAAGGAAAGTCTGTGTCAATTCGAGCGCTGAATCCATTTTAGATTGGCGTTCGTCCATAGATGTACCCAAAATGCTATTAAAAGGAAGATTCTGTCCGTGTTTAAAGAGATCATTCAATACTGTAATGGCGTTCTCTTTGCTACCGAAAGGAAGCTTGTCTTCGTTCTTTTTACTATTGTTATTACTTTCATTATTGTCATCTTCATTTTTCTCCATTTTAATGATTGCTCCGTTAATAAACGATTTCTGTCATACTGCAGAAATACAAAAGCATAATTTGAAATTAACATGAGACTAAATTGATCTTAAAAATGAGAACTACCTTGAAAAAAATGTTCAGATTGTATCAGCAAATTTCTTATATCAATCAGACAAACAAATTCTTATATCAATCAGAATTCTGGTTATCTCGACAAAAATGTTTGGTAGATTTAGATACTATGAGTATCTGGATTTATATCTTTCTGATTGAATTTGAGAATTCTAATTAAGACTTTTTCCAGTGCATGAATGCCAAGATTAGGTTAGGATTTTTTTCACGAGTTTTAGAGTTTTTTTCTCAAATTTGCAACGTACTTTTTAAAAGACAAATGCGAAAAATGTGTACTTTAGCTTTATCTATTAATTATCATGCAACTGATGCGTCACAATCATAATTATAAGATTTCTTCAATAACATATACCTTACTCCGACCACAAATTGTTGTCATGTCACATAGTGAAATTGGCAACAACTGGCAGCAGTTTCGGCCATTCCGAATAATTTAGTAAAAAATGATAAAAATCATACAGTAGCCAATCATCTTCCATTATATGTTTAAAGGTTGGCTGCCATGTGACATATAATATTATTATTATTCCCCAGGCCCATCTGTGTGCGCCGCACAAAGAAGCCAATGTTGTGTTTACTTATGTTTTTACATCGCGATTTTTGCATATTTCTACAAACTTCAGCCTTCAGCTTCTGGGAACGAGACGATCCCTTTTTTTCAACGGATGTTTGTGATCTCCTGTCATAAAACTGTCCAACTTCAACGAGTGAGTATTTGAAACGCGAGGGAAAGAGACAGAGAATGTCTTGTTTAAATAGGTAAACAGTTTTTAGTTGTAAAGAAATACTGAGAAATTAATCTCCGATTCACGTTAGAGGTTATTTTTTTTCATTTATTCAATTATAAGGAAACTTTGTTAGTAGATGTTTGTTTTCTCTCAGAATTATAAAATAGCTTGTCTCAAATAGTGTGTCTTATTTTTGAAACATTGATCCTTGCATAGTTGCAATTCGGACAAAGAGTAGAGTTGATTTTACTAATAATTGAGATGTTCCTGAAAATATATTCTTAAATTTGACAATCTAAAAAAGTTATATATAATATATAAACTTTTTAAATATTTGTAATACTAATAATTAGGTAAATACATATACAATTTTTTACATAATTATATTAATATC